ACGACACTAAAAGTCACCTTGAACTTGTACAGGGTGTCATGGGACAGGTGGTGAACGATGTAAAGAGTCTGGTGCTGGAGAAATACAGAAAAATTGATAATGGTAAGTTCGAATTGTTACATGTAGCAATACATTTATTTTTCAAATTTTCTCATAAATTCATCTTTTAAAATGTTGTATAATATCATACATGTACATAAAAGAGAATAACAGCAAACAAAGTTCAGAAAGTACAGTTACTTAATGGTTTTGATGAATAAGTTCTGAATACACTAATGTTCTGTTCATCAACTGGTGTCAGACAGTACTATATGGACCCCCGTCATTGTCCCCAGGTTCTGAGGTCTGTCTGGGAGGGAGATAGTTTTGTATGGGCTGGTGTCTCACGTCAGTAGGAGTTTAGCTGTAGGGGGCTCCACAAGGGGACAGACTGAAGAAATTCTTAGGGGGTAGTTCAATATCTACCAAGCAATAATAATACTTTGCTTCTATGATTTTTTTTTTATTAATGTTACACGGTACTGTGCAATGTCATGTATTTGTGTTGCCCTTTATCTAATTTTTGAAAAAAAAGAGTAATTTTGATCATATTTGTTTGTAGATGGGAGCAAGGAGAATTTTGAAGTAGATTATCGGATCCTTGAGAATCTGATGATAGACATAATACAGACATAATACATACAGATAAAAATCCTTCAACAATTCAACCAATTAGGTAAAGACAAGGAATTCCAAAGCATAATTAAGGTATGTTTCTGAGTTTTCACTCCTCTTGACCCATATAGCTATTGATAGTGTTCAAATCACTAATTCACTTCACAATTTTAAAAAACATTCAAGATTCAGTTTTACCTAACCATAGAAAGCTGGATTTTCATTAAAGTTAAAATATTTATTTATTGGTTACTAGGTGATGGACAGGTTTATTGGGTTGCTAGGATGAGGGAGTCCTTGGTTACCTACACACAGGATCATGACCTTAACAAGGTCATTCTATACTACTCCTGGGTCAAGGACATACTTCTGCCTGTAATGGGTGACTGGTAAAGAAATAAGTCAAGTGAAAGGATATTGGAAAGATTTATTACAGTGGCATGTCAATAACTTGTTCAAGTGAATGAAAAAAATGTAGAACTGAAAAGAAGTCTTAAGTTATTGTGTTAAATTCATTGAAATCAAATTTTTTAAAAGACAAAAATAAAGAATTTAATTTTTTTTTCTCTGTGCTTTGATAATTGTTGATTTTGGCATTTCGACAGAAAATTTATGTTATACTGGAATTCTTTAACTGTGAGAAGGAAAACATAGATATTATGTATTCATTAAACATAGTTTTTCTACCTTTAGGTTTATGGAGTGTTTCCCACATCTGTACCAGGCAGGTGAAGTTCTGCTGTCAGGATATGAGGAGACAGATTGTTACATCAGGTTCTGGAATTCCCATGGTCACCCATCTCCTTACAGAACCCAGAGTGAGGCGGAGGACTGTTTGCCTCTAACTGACCTCTGTAAACTATCTGACATCCATAGAGAGGCTGCTGACCTCATTATGGAGTATAAAGTCCAGTTACGTCTAGACAGAAGGAGCGAACTCTTATCATTAGTAATCAATGCAGGGACTGAAGTGAAAGCTGGAATTGAACATGGTATGAATTTTGCTTGACTTTAACTCAAAAATAAATTCTTTTTTGTAAGATGGAAATTCTCTTGTTTTTAAGTTTACTTTTCAACTGAATTGGTTAATTACGTGTATCAGTTTTGCATATGCTGTTTTAATATAATTTGAACCTCATGATTTTATTTTTCCATTTCATTACCTATTGCAATATTTGAATTGATCAACTTTCAGGCAATAACACAGAGACCATTGGAAATGTTAGAGAACTCCGGCAGCAATATAACCTGACACGAGAGGAAAGAAAGATAGTGGACAGTGCAATGGGAACGGACCAATCAGAATACAGCAATGTATTGTTACAGTTCAGTCAATCAACATCTGGGAAGAATGTTGACCTTTGGCTTCTTCATGATCACATGTTTGTTCTCTCTGAGCTGAAGCTAGTCAATAGAATGTTGACATCACTAGAATGTACTGCTTCACCAGAGATAGGGGCATTAGTTAACTATGGAAGCCAGTTTACACCTGTGTCACCAATGGCTTTAACAAAACTGAAAACCAAGTGTGAAGCCAAAAGTTAGGTAATCCAGTGTTTTATAATGAATCTGAGGTCATCTGAAATGTGTTAATGATTTGTGAATTAATCAATAGTTTCTCAGTCAAAAAAAAATCAGAAATCAATGCGACAGGCAGGTTTTTTTTATTAATTATTTTTTTTTGAAGCACCTTTTCTAAACCATTTGTTCAATAAAATGATAATATCTACCAATTCTTAATTTTTGTCCTCTGAAATTGGTTGTAGTATGTATTGAACTTTAAATAATGTTACTCAAAACATTTATTTAAAAGTTAATTAATACAATACTGAAAATTTAGAATAAATATATTGTTTTTCTAATAAAAACGTCTATCTTAGCATTTATGAAAAAGGGAATAACTCGATTTTCTTTTTTAACTTGGAAAAAAAAATAGAAAATTGAATTATTTCTCTTAAAACCCTTGGTCCGATTCTAATCGCTAAAAAAATGTATTTGTATTTCTTCTTGAAAATTAATTGTCCATAAATAATTTCAACTTTTGTTAAATATATCCCCAAAGTCTTTTTCTTTTTAAAGATATCAAAATTCAAAAGTTAAAAAAATATTTTTTTTTAGGTCACACAAAAAAATAATCCTTTGTTTACAATGTACATTGCGTGAAATCACCTTCGAAGAATTAGATTGATCAAAATAAAAAAAAATGATTTTTGAACTGACGTGACGGTGCCTGGGAAACTATTGATTAATTTTTTGGTCTTAAGTTACGTAATACTGTTTGTGTACTTTAAAAAGCAGGTTTAATATTTTAATGGCTTTTGCGTAGACAACAATGCACTGATTAATGAATTCCACTAACAAATCATTTACGTATGCAATACACTGAACAGACATCTGAAGCAGTAATTTGTGATAATGCCAACAATTCCATACCCAGTAGTTACTCTAAATTTTGAATAGTTACGCCAAATTATATATACACACAGTACTTTTAGAGAACCTGCTATTGGACAATAAAAATGTAATTATTATGATATGCCAATTTCACATTTATTTACAGGGAGTTGTCAGTAACACTTTGTGTGAGATACTCTGTGATTTGTACCAACAACTGTGGACCAACACGTCCACCACGGGACGAAACTGGTGGTTAAACTGGTCCTCATCCCTTCAGAGCACGACATCAAGTATTGAAAGGACCAGAGAAAATTTGGTAAGGTTGGATGTAATCAGATACTAAAATTAACTTGATAAATATGACCCAGTTTTATTAAGCTACTAATTAATAACTAAATACATGTACATGACATTGTTTATTATTTGACAGTTGTAAAGCAACATTGAATGTTCAAATGCTCATTGACAATTAGTATTCGAAGCAAACGAGAACAAACTGACCAATTTTATAAAAGTGAAAAGAACAAAAAAAATTTACTTGTGATGAATTTAAATTACTGTAGACATACTTTTTCCCACGGGGTCATAATTCCGCGGAATCTCAATTTCTGTTTAATCCGCGGCTAGAAAATTACGCGAACTTTCTAGACCGTCGCTAGGCATATATGCCTGACATTTATGTTAATTAAGGTAGAACCTATGTCGGAGAAGTCTTTGTCACAAGATTTTCAAACTTTTTATAATGATAAATTAGCACTTGCTTATCAATCAGTTAAAAGCATATGACATGTTTCCTTGTTATTAAATGTAGTGCAGCCAGTTAAACATGGAATGATAAATACGTATTGTGACTTCACAATTTCAGTCATTTTAGGGGTACTTGTCATGCAAAGAAGACAACAAAATCCCAGAATTTCTTCTTTAAACATTGTTGTTTTTATTGTTTATTAATTGAACAGTATTAAACAATATTTCCCGAGAATAAATTCTTTTTTATTCAATTGACATAAAAGAAAAGTCGAAATTTTCAAAACTATAGGCAAATGAACTCTATTTATTTTCAGTCAATTTTCCACCCTACATTTGTAAATATATATCAGAAGTCTTTGTCACAATGTTTTCAATCTTTAATATGATAAAGAACATACCCAAATGATTACAAAAAGTGATTTAAATATATACCTTTCCCCTCTAACTAATGAGAGATAGGTTATTTACCGATACTAATATTCTTGACCTTTTTGCACTTACACGGATTTTATCATTAAATGACTGTTTGGGGCTACTTTCAGCTTAAAATGTTTATAAAAATTATGCTTTTAATTTAAAAGATCATATTCAATAGAGAAATTGTAATAAAACTCCAAGAATATGAATAAGTAACAAATAATTATGAAAAGGAATGCACATCATTTCATGATAGATATCATAAAATGTACACATAATCTACAACACATACATCTTTGACTTAGAGACATTTCATCAAGATATTACACTATTTTGTTGGCAACTGACGATTTTTTTAAAAAAGATTTTGCATTCCTTCAAAATAGTTACATACCATTTACATTATTACAGTTTGTAGTATACATGGCAATTTCATCACACAATATAATCTTGGATTTGTCAACTTAATTAAGGTCAAGATCTATTAAATGAAAGGTGCCTAAAGGTTTCTTTAATTCAAGAAATATACTGTAATTAAGCATTATATTAAAAAACATATATAAATCGAATATTATGAAGATTATTTCGGCATGATTTTAAATCGAATTCTGTGAATTTCAAAATGCAGTATAAATATACTGAAGCTGTAAAGTACGGGAAATGACATTGAATCAATTATGACGTCATAATGGATCTAGCACAGGCTAAACACATTCACTAGTTATGATGTCATACGACGTAGGTTCTACGTTAAGTACGCTTGGACAAATTTCCGCGGAAAATTTGTAATCGCGTACATAGTGTAAATTTATACCACACGGAAAAAAGTACTTCAATCTACAGTATAATGATTATTTGGGGGAAAACACTATAATACATGTGTATATTACAAATTCTGGAATTTCATTGCAAATATTATTCATAACAATCAAATGCTGGAGGTAGGTGAACTTAAAACTTGTGTGGCACAGCCTAGTAATCTAGATTTTTATTTGTGTCATATTGGACTCAAATGTAAATATAGGCAATCAACAACAAGGTCACTTAATTATCAAATGGGTTGAATCTGGGATTTAAACATGTATTAAACTAAATTCATTTTCCAGTAAACTTATTAAGCTTTGTTGTTAATCATTTATTTCTCATGCATGTATGTCTGTCTAACTAGGAGAAATTGTTTGTTACACAAACAGATTAAGCATAAACATAATACAGTAAATGAAATATCATTTTTCTGTTTTCTGCAAATATTTGTACACAGAGACGGTAGAACATTCCCATCCCCCAATCCAGAAATTGTATTGATGATCAATACAGAGAGCACATGGATATTTAGGACATTGATCTTGTGTGATAAGGATGGACCGGAAATGACCATTAATGTCTAGCAGGTGGACACTAAAGCAGTTCTCATTAAATGTAAAATAGTTATTACACACTAAAATGTGTCCAAGAACATCTGTACAGATTCCATAGGGACAGAATCCAGACTGAGAGTGGTGACCAGAGTAAGAGAAGCGGTACTCCCCTGATGCAGTCACCACCACCACCTTACTGGCATTATAGTCTGATGTACAGATGTCACCATTGATGTTCTCTGTGATATAGCGTATGCTTTGGTAAAGACTTTGTCCTTTTTCATCCCACTGTATGTCTAGTAACTTCCTCCCTTCTCTTTTGTATCTGGTTATTTTGTTTGTATGGTCTGACTTTCTCTTCATCCCAACCAGTATGTGTCCATTGATAGGAGAGGAGTAGATGGCTCCAGGTCTCCATTTCCCTGTCTGAAGTAGTTTGTTGATGGACTTGTCACTAGTTACTTTGTACACAATGTTTTTTTTTTTATATCTGTGTAAAGAAGTTCTCCTCTGTTGTTACTGTGTGGTTACCTTGCATATACGGCACACTGGTGGATATTTTACATAAGATATTTCCTTCCATATCATACTGAATGAGATTTGAAAAGTTATCACTAGCCCAAAATTTATTGGGATGCAAGTGAGACAAATGGGAAGTTCCAGGTTCCTGGATATTTATTTCGCTCACTTTTGTGACAGAGGAAAACTCAAATATTTTAGATAAATCTATTCAATTTCTCCAAATTGTTTGGCTATTTCCTCTTTATTTAATGTACCTAGTGTAAAAGTTGGAAGTTTGGGTTCAGATGTTCTAGACATCTTCAGGGTAGCTAATGAAATGTCTAACTGGAATTTCATGAGTTCAGTGTGTTTTATGGAAGACATTTTACTCTCATAGTCTGAAATAATTTTTTCAAGGTAATTTTTGTAGTTCTCTGTTTCCTTCTGTTGTTTCCCTATATCATATAGTACAGAGTTCTCCATCTCATCCATTTTTTTATAATTATCAAGAAGTACACTTTCAACAGCCTCTTTCAGTTCATCTGCTCTCTTCTTCATGGAAACTCTTATCTTGGCAATTTCACTCTTGATGTTTTCTTTTTCTTTTACAAGTGACTCAACATTATTTTTAGCTTCGGGAATGAGAGTTTTCCAGATCATAGTTATTTCCTTCTGACATCGGTGTAGAATGTCATTGTAGATGGTTTCAAGGTCACTTTTGTCATGACGTTTGTGATGTGAGGTAAAGCATATAGAACAGACAGGATCCTGGCAAACTTTACAGTTAACGTCTATTTCTTGGGTGGGATGGATCTTGCATTTTTCAGAAGGAAGTTTTCTCTTTCTCTCCTGATAAGGGACAATGTTATGGATTTTGTTATTTTTTCTATGAGGCTGTTCGCAATGGTCACATATTCGCTGGTGACAGGTATTACCGTAAAACTCTGAGAAGTTCCTACATGATCCCGTGTCACACTCGATATAATGCTGGGCTGTATCTGGTACTTGGTCCATTGTTATTAATCAAAACTCTACAAAATATTTATTATCAGAGTGAAGGTAATTAAAACACCAGTCTTATAAGTGGGTATAGCTTACAACATGCTGAACACAAATTAAAGTATTACCTTTTATGTGATCTAGTAGATAAATCTCTTTCACAATAGTTCACTGTCATGATAAGTGTCGGCCATTTGTACTGTATGACGTGTATCCATGTAAAATGTAATTTACTTCCTGTTTTAAACAAAAGCACATTGTGGCCAGGTGATAGGAATGACAAAAACATTGAAATATCTATGCAGTCTTTGGATCAGTGCAGAAATTAAATAATAAGAGAATAATTGGCTAGACGATCACACAGTATCTGTGGTTCAAATAACAGAAGAGCAAAGAGTGAAAACGAATTGAATTTAAAATTTTAAACGATACTACTTCTTTCAAAATGTTTTCTAATAATTTAAAAATTAAAGAATTGGTTTATTAATAGTATATTGACCTTGATCATACTAATGTACTGTTCTTAAACTAAGGCCTGTAGGAAATCCCGCATTTTAGTAAGATTTCACTCGACGAACAATTAAGCAAATAACTATATATTTGATATTTGATTTGAGGCCGAGTCTTATTCGAGTGCGAATGACTTTGCACAGCTTTTTAACTTATTGCAGTCATCAAGGCGATAGTATACACTTTTCCCAAATATTGTGATTTTAATATAAAATTAGCATAATCTCTAACGCTTACTGGGCTGAAAATATTATTTTACAACAATTATTAAGAAAACACGCTGAAATGGCTCCAAATATGTCACTGTTTTCCAATTTATAAGCGTTGTCCATAATGTTTGTCGCTGGGGAATGAAACATCAATCGCTGATATGTTCAAAGTAGCCCATGTATATTATTCTTGATCTAAAACTGATGATAGAACATCAAAAGAAACATAGTAGCAATCTGAATATTGCAATTTAAAAAAAAAATTGCCTGCGTCGATAATTCATCTGCATAGATATGTATTTATTCTGAAATATATGGCAATTTTAGAGGTATTGGGCAAAAAAAACAACATTTTTTTAAATGGAGACATAGACCAACCTAAATGGTAAACCTCTCTGAAATTTCACAATTTGGTGAATTTTTTACAATAACTTTCAATTACGTGGCTGAAAAAGAAATCTCTAGGGCAGAAATACAAAAAAATATGGAAACTTTTTGATAATTTAGCTCTTTTCCAACAAAGTCCCATAGGTTCCAATATTAAATTTTGTTGACTTTTGAGATGGTCCCCTAAGAAATGGGGGGGGGGGGTAAACATTCGATTTTTAAATCTTAAAACAATAGATATAACAGTAAAAATTAATTAACGAAAAATGTCACATTCGATAAAGTGCTGGGCTATATCCGTTATTTCATCCATTATCAACGACCAAAAATCTGGAAAATATTAATAATCAGAGTGTAGCTGCAATAATAAAGCCCTCTCTGATATTTTCAATGTGATATTTTTTGGAGAGGGCAACAAATTCCATGGCATCTTCGTAATGGTCCGCATATTTTTTTTTAATTATTCAGGCGACTGTAGGCAAAAGAATTTGTTTTTACATTCAACTTACTCCTAAAAAGACGAAATTTGTATTCACCATCATCAACGTAGACCGCTAAACACAAAAAGCTGATAAATAAATCTGCCTGTTAAGGTCAGATGACACGTTCCCCAAATATATTTCATTTTAATATATTATATATTATATCAAAAACTCTTTATAGATATAAGCACACCCAAAATTGGGAAATAGGTCATAAGAAATTATCCATAAGGATTATATAAGAAAAATGACCCTGTGGTATCTTATTCAAATGCCTGGTAAGGTACCCTAATTTTTTGTGAGGAAACTTGTTTAAGCACCTTTACTTCAATGACAAATTCTTAAGAAAAATTATATAAATTTTTGAGGAACGTGTCATCTGACCTTAAACAATCTCTCTCCTCAGAAGCCATGACGATTTTCTCGTTGTGCACTAAGACTTGCGCTGGAAGTTTAGAATAACTTCAAAAAGCAAATATTGGGGTCACTAAATGATTGTGATGTATGTCATCACGAAACATCGATAAACAAAACTATTCCATTTGACTTTTTTTTTCGAAAATAGCGATATTTACAATGTATGTCTAAAACAAGATATGAATGCCTAAAAAATAAAAAAAAATAAAAACCTTCCCATGGATCCCTTACATTGTATCTCATTGGCTGTCCCAAATAAAATCGGTAAAGTTTATTAAACATGGCGGATAAATACTAGTTGCAAGTCAATTACATAAAAAATAACAGATATATGAATTGTTCTATGTATTATTGGATTGATTTAAGTCTTACATTACTTTATTTTCGAGCTCGGGTAAGAAACATTTATTAGATAGCCATTTACTGATCATTTAAGCGGATATCTATTTGGGAGTATATCAACCCCGAGCTTGCATCATTAAAGAGATTCTAAGGAGCACCCCCCCCTCCCCCCCAAAAAAATACATAAATAGGTATAGGGCTACATTATTTCAGCGAAGCAGTATGGCACTTATTAATGAGTACTTCTCAAAACACCTCTCAAAACACATTTATGCTCTTTATTTAAAAGAGGAGATTCATAAAACTTACTAACTTTTCTTTGATCTGGTACCAATTAATCTGTTTCACAATACCCCACCAGTCTGCCAATAGTAATTATGACGTGTATCCAGGTACCGTGCAATAAACTTGATTCTTCAAGCAAAACATTTAAATCTCCACGTAGTGTCTGTATAGGTGCAGAATTTAAAGAGAAAAATGGAGTTAGATGCCAAATAATTATAAAGATATTGGTAGTTATTTTCTATAGATGTTTTTCATTTTAAAGTTAGAAGGTCTCGTTTTAAAAAATCCAACTTGCACATTCTCTACACATATGCATTTCGTGCTCATGTATTGTTGAACTAAGGAAAACATACTGAAACAGCACCGTCCAGAGCTAGTCCCGCTGTAAAATGAATTCGAGTTCAAAGGATACCGAAATTCACATTGTTAAAAAAGATATCATGTTCCATAACATTTAACAGATTTTAATACAAATATAAACAAATACATATGAAACATTATCATAATGATTCTATTTAAACCAAGGAGAGTGTGAAACCATTACTGTTAATCAGATATAATTTGGCCCCAATCCCCAAAAGGACTTCTGATCCCTAAATATACAAAGTAACGACTCTCTAAAAGACCCCTACTTGCTGGACTCAATTGCAACAATCTTGGCACGCGCATACACAACCCGGTCGGGCGAAATGAAATAACTCTAAAATAAAAATAAGAAAATAACCATTAATATACATTTTAATAAAAGTTCACCAAAAAGGAAAAAAAATCTTTAAAGAAGTATGAACCGTACGTGTCCAACATGAAATTATACAAAAGAGGGAAATCTTTCAGCTGTCTTACTTGTCCTTGAAATGCATTCCTTTCTTTCAGCACAAACAACTGCTGAACATGATTAGGCATCTTGCCAATACCAAAGGATCAGCCACTCACACTCTTCAGCTAATGGACAAATTATTATGAGTTTGCAAATCTGGAGAATTATCCAATGAGATTGCAGAAGAGAGGACCTGGCAGAAAACTCACCAGCGGTTGGTCAGTTCACTAGAGGAGGGGTTCCCTCTATACAGAGACATCACCACACCCTTCATAGTGGCCCTCCAACAGGTGAGCGGATAGAAAGGTTATACCTGATGTCAACAAGAAGTGAGTCAAATTGAGTGCATCATCAGTGTAAACATGTAGTTTTTAAGTCCCTTCTCATTTACAAAACTGGGGCTGCTATCTGCAAGGCTTGCTCTTTTCTACAAATGAAAATCTCTGTATTTATGAATATGCATCAGATTGAATTTAGAAGTCTAAAAAATGATAATATAGAGATACATTGCACCACCTTATACATGTAGGTGTTGCATAGTTTAGGATACATGAGGCATTTGTTTGTTTTAGGTGAGATGTGGGATGAGATTTATAGCTGGCTGTGCAACAGAAACATACAATGCTCAACAGCTGACAGAGAGACTTAAAGTAACTAGTCAGGTAGGAGTAGTTCTGATGATGGGATAAGTATTGATTACATTGCCTATATTTTTTAAAGAAAAATTCTTTTCAATTACCTTCAGTTATTTTGAATGCTTTCAGAAATAGGAAAATTTGTGAATTTTGTTCCCAAGGTCCATGAGACAATAGGTCACATCAGGGAAGCAGCTCAGCTTTTAGGAAAGTTCCTATTTAATTCATCGGATCTGATTAGCAGCATAAAGTTAGCTCAGAAAATCCTGTTCGTAGAGAAATTGGTGTCAGGTTGAATGAAGGAGAGCGGAACAGACCACACGTCAGGGTAAAAGTATACTGTCATTTGTATCCTGTACATGTCTTATATTAAAATGTTGAATTTTCATTGGTTGAGTAGAGGACTATATAAAACTATATGATATTATGTTGCTTCTAATATGTTACGTTCTATCCCTTTCTCCTTTAGACTTTACCTTGGTGCATTATTTTTACTGCGGAACTCAGCCATGGTGAGGAAAGAATTAAATAGAGAGATTGTGTTGTCTCTGCACAAAATCTTCAATCGTTTTATGTTGTCATGGAAACATCAGGAGAGGATACGGCTTCAGAAAGAGGCTGAGGAGATGTATTAATACAAGACAAAACTCCATGGCGACGACAGAGACAATGATGTGATAGAGGAGGAGGAATTCAGGCAGAACTTTCCTTCCTTTCCGTGTGATAAACAATTATTTTAAGTGATCTTTTGATATTATTTTAGAATGTAAGATTTCAGTGGTAGGATATTTCATTCAATGAAAGTTACTTGAGTTATATTTCAAATCGGCACCATATCTAGGTATGAATATAATGATTTAAATGCATAATGGTACTAGAACCTTTTGTAATATTCAATTGTAAACACTAAATACTGAGAATGGAATTAGATAAAAGAGTAATAATTTAATGCTTGAACTGTCAATTGACCAGCATTTTTACCCTTTGTGCAGTTGGCCTCGGGCAAAGAACACACTGAGCTATTCCCTGCACCTGGGAAAAAAATCCGATTAACTATTCAGGTATTAAATAAAAGTGCACTTCTGTACAATTGGGGATGGGTATCTAGGGAACAGTGTACTCAGATTTGGTATGAATGGGGGGGGGGGGCTGCCACAGGGATACACGTATCATAGATTTATGATTCCGAATTCCGTAATTTGCTAAGAAAAGTTACCTAATTTGTTTTATTGATGATCTGAAATATAATAAACAGTTAGTGTGTTGTAGTTTTATGACTGTAAATCGACGGAGTAGCTAAGGTTAGTTTATTTTGATATACCTATTTACATGTAGTTTTGATTTTCAGATATTTCAAGTATTTCATGATTTTTTTCGATTACGCTTTTTCTTTTTATTGATCATAAGCATCACAAATCACGTGGATTACAGGTCTTCTTGTTTACAGGAGAAAAAGTTTCTGCAATAACCGCTGGCCAAATTGTTTTTATTTCAAATAAGCTGATTATTTTTATTTATGATTTGATTTTTCATATTTGAAATTTCAGCAAACATTTTTCTAGAAAAAAAGAAAGAACGTCACAGAGCACAATCTTCTGGAATTTGTTGTTTCTTCATTCATAAAGTATTTCATTCATACGTGTGTATCCAAGGAATTCAATACTGACAGGTTGGTTTGGAAGTGTGAAAGGTCAAATGTCTTTGTGTCGAAATGGGTCAGGTTAAGAGGTTTCAGAAAGTGAATATTTTAGAGTGGAAAGTGTGTGAAAGCTTTTACAGGGTTGGTATCAGATGAACTTTCTGATCACCAAATACCCCAACTAACTCATTTAACCCAAGAACAGCCATAAATAAGGACTTTTTCTTCTCCCTATATATATGTCCTTCATTTAATAATGAGGACAGTTTAATGACTGTCTCTTCGGTCATCCTAAATCTTGCTGTATAATTGAAAAAAAAATATAATCGAACAGAACAGCTGTTTGCATTGTGATATAAAGAATCAACTGTTTACAAAGGCTGTGACGTATATACATTGTAACAATCAATGTTCAATATACATCACAACGTTTTAAGATATAGTATTGAACATTTTCTGTTATAATCCCTGAAGTTCAATATATCTAGATTAGGCTGTATAATAAGTACTCTTTTTGACAGAAAAAGTTATGAGAAGAAATGCATTCACCTATACTAAAAGAATTTAAACTAAAAAAAAAAACATCGTTTCAAGTTGTTTATGCTTGAAACAAAAATGTGTTTGTGCATGGCAAGCACACAAGAAAAACATAATTTTGAAAGCAGATGTTCATTTGTTAACTGTATTGATTATACTGTGTTAACAATTACTGGGATTTTGATACTAATTGATCAGAAATGAGCAATGTTGAATATGAAATATCATTTGTCTGTTTCCTGATAATACTTGTACACAGATACAGTAGAACTGCCCCATCCCCCAATGCAGAAATTGTACTCATTATCAATACACAGAGCACAGGAAAATTCAGGACATTGTTTTGGTGTGAGTAGGAAAGACAGGAAATGACCATTGATGTCCAGCAAGTGGACACTACTGCTATTTTCATTATGTGGATTATAGCCATTACACACTAAAATGTGTCCAAGAACATCTGTACAGATTCCGTAGGGACAGAAACCAGGCTGAGAGTGGTGGCCAGAGTAAGAGAACCGGTACTCTCCTGATGCAGTTACAACCACAACTTCACTGGCGTCTTCATCTGATGTGCAGATATCACCATTGATATTCTCTGTGATGTAGTCTATACTTTGATACAAATTTTGTCTTTTGTCATCCCACTGTATGTCTTGTAGTTTCGTCCCTTCTCTGCTGTATCTGGTTATTGCCATGAATTTATTTTTCTCCATTGCAACCAATATGTGTCCATTGATATGAGAGGAATAGATGGCTTCTGGTCTCCTGTCTCCTGTATTAGTAAGTTTATGGATGGCGTTTTCACAAGTAACTCTATAGACAGTGTTTTCATAGCCATCTGTGTAAAGTAGTTCTCCCTCTTTTGTGACTGTGTGGTTAGCTTGGAAATAACACATACTTGAGATAGATATCTTATCTGAGATGTTTCCTTCTTTATCAAACTGAATGAGATTCCCCGACATATCACTATTCCAAATTTTTTTCGATGGCAAGAGGGACAAATGATAAGTTCCATTTTCCTGGATAGTAATTTCACTTACTTTTGTGACAGTACAAAGCTTTAATCTCTCAGACGAATCTAATTCAATTTCACCAAGCTGTTTGGAAAGTTCATCTTTATTGAGTGTACAAAATGTTAAATTTGGGAATTTAGGTTTAGCTATGAAAGGCATCTTTAGTGTAGCTAATGAAATTTCTAAATGGAATTTCATGAGTTCAGAGTGTTTTATTGAGGACATTCTACCTTCAAAGTCTGCAATCATTTTTTCCAGGTAATATATGTAGTCCTCTGTTTTCTTCTGTTCTGTCATCATCTCATTTAGAACAGAGTTTTCAATCTCATCCAGACTTTTATTTTTATTATTTAGTATGCAGTCAACAACCTCTTTTATTTCATCTGCCCTCTTCTTCATGGAAATTCTTGACTTAGCAATTTCATTTTTGAAAATGTATCTCGTTTCCCCGATTGATTCAACAATATTTTTAGCTTTAGGAATGGTTGTATTCCAGATCTCACTTATTTCTTTCTGACATTGCTGTAGCAAGTCATTGTAGATGTTTTCAAGGTCATTTTTATCATGATCACTGTGATGTCGGGCAAAGCAGACAGAACAGATGGCATCAAGGCAAAAATTGCAGTATATGTCTATGTCTTTAGCGGGGTGAATCCTGCATTTCTCTAAAGGAAGTTTTGTCTTTCTCTCCTGATAGCGGACAATCTCATGGTCTTTATTTACCTTTAAATGGGCCGTTCTACAGAAGTTACAGATTCGTTGATGACATGTATTGCAGTAAAACTTAGAGAAATTTCTGCATGAATATGTGTCACACTCGATAAAATGCTGTGCTGTATCTGGTATCTGGTCCATTATTGTTGCTGAAATCTATTTAAAAAATGATCAGAGTGTAGGTAAAAAGGCACGTATTTTTGTGTATAGCTTACAACACACATATATTGTATGTCACAAAGATGAGATTCATAAAAAGCATTACCTTCTTTATGAAATCCCGTTTACAGTACCTAATCAGTCTTGATTAGTATCAGCAATTTCTGTTGTATGACGTGTCCAGGTAGAATGATATTGACTTCCTTGATCAAACATTTAAACCTAGGTGATGTCGATTTGTATAAAATGCTAAAAGTAGAGAAAAGAATGGGGGTTGAATATCACGCATACACTTTTAATATAAATAAAACGGTAGCAATGTTAATTGTAATGATTCCTATCAGTCTGTCTCAATGTAGTTATAACCCATTTATTGTTGCAGATTATTTTAAGGGTTTAGCGTACGAATAATATGCCGAAATAGTACACGCCTATATTTCAGACAAAAATCAGACATCATCCATTCCAGGGATCCAACACATGCTTCCAGTTTAACCATGTACGTCATGATCTGTTCTAAATAGTTATAACTATTAGTTTGAAATATTTGAAACTTAAAGATAAATGAAATAATTTTCCGGAAATACTTTTCCAACATTTTCCCTCTCCCAATTACAATTCTTTGAATACATTAAACCTTACTGCATTTAATACTAAAAGATTAAGAAAAAGGATTTGACTTGCATTTTGCGCATTTTGTCGACATAATAGGTGTGTACTCACATGTTTGTTAAAGGTGATGAAACACTGAAAATGGAAAGAAAGCATATCTTCGTTCTTATACATGTGAAACACGCAGATTAGTTTAAAGCAGCAGGCAGATCAGAATATGGCGAATTAGCACTTTTTTATATAGAGCACTGATAAATGGGAAAAGTCCTGCCAGTGGATAAAAATCTTTTGTTATCATTATCCATACTTTAGGCTTCAACTAAAACTACAGAAAATAAAAAAAAACCACCACGATGTCATTATGTGATCTTTGTAAGTGGAACAATATGCCTAAATGGAAAAGTGAAAAGTTCAACGCTATCCCGGGGATAATTAATTTCAATTTGTTGACTCGGTACGCAAAAGCATGCTCTACGTATGAACAATTTCTAAAGCGAGGTTAATTAATGAAAAGCAAGTTTATAAAACAAGAATATCAACAGTCTCATTTAAATTCTTCTATGATCGATATAATTACCTTGTAAGCAAATACAATTTTTCATTGAGTCAAATGCTGACTGACGTTTTTTCATTCCAATTGTTAGTCCATTATTTATACAATAAATTGACGACTGATTTTTCCATTACTTCCTGACCATGACAAGGAGAACACAGCGGAATGACCGGTCAGCAGGGGATGCTCACTCCTCCATGGTACCTGATCCCACTTCTTATATTTCTCGGGTCCGTGTTTGCTCTGCTCTTATTTTGTATTGTTTCATGGACTTTGAGATTGTATACTGTTTGTTATCTCCATATCCTTCCTTTACCGTTTTCAACGATGACTGCCCATATTCTGAAATTTAAACTTTTTTTAAAAGGTCACAACTATTGAAATATTTAGAGCGTGTCTACGAGAAAACTATGCAGAAAACTATAGGAGCAGTGTTCTCTGATCAATTTCATGTTTTGTTTGTAAATTTCTTTTGTAATATGAAATGTTTTGCCACAAAAAATGTCAGTGCGGTGTCATTTAAGTGGGTTAATCGACACTGTTACTAAAATATAATTCTTGGTCCTTACACAAGGTGAAAACGGGAATAGTTTAGGATTTTATATTTAAAAACTCAGCATTTGATTTAATAATGATATAAAATAACCATATACGGTTGAAAGTAACAAGATACACTTGTTTCGGTAAATGTTTCATAATTACAAACTATGTCCCTGTTTAAGTGGTCACAAATCTGGCATATCTCGTAGACAGCCTCATAAACAATTCTTAATTTTAACTTGTAGGATAATTTTGGCTAGTGTTGTGCTATTTCACAGAAAACATCACTTCAGCAATAATCGGTGTCTTGTTTGTAAATTACGATATTTTGACCTCTTCTGTGATGGTATTTTAGCACTTTTAAAGCGGAAAAAGTTTTATAAATCACAATATTTTTGATTCTTTAATACATGTCAATTGAAACAATGTCAAAATATGTCTACAAAATCTGATTTAATGTAAATTAAAATTAATAGTTCTGACGGTGGTCCGCATATTCTCCAAACAACCCTCATATATGTATTGCCTGTGATGTTTTGAAAATACACGGGAAAAGCAGAAATGTAAAAAAAACATTGCATTTAGATGTATCCAATGCTTTTGAAATTTCCCGAAAACGCCATTTAGAATTTAAATCAATTTCATTACCATTATTAGTAAATCATTATTTGTAAAACGCATGAATTACCAAAGACATATTTCTTGTATTTGTTTTAAACGCAAAACACGTGACGGATAAGTAAATTAGCCGGAATTGGAGTTGAATGTTTAATCATTTATTAAATATTATATCTTAAATCCGGGGAAACTATCAAATACAATAAATAATACATGGAGTGATCGACTAACTATATATGCGGCATAAATTGAAGGTTTTGACAAGGCCTGGATACGTTGCCCGCTGCTCAATATGTTTGAATTTTCTCAAACAGAGAGATACGGTTCTCCAGCTTTCATTTATTAAGCGTATAATTATGTGCATTTTTTAACAATCCTTTGCTAAATTTACAGTCTTAAAACACTGAATATTCATACCACGTTTTGAGCTCTCTTTTGATGAAAATTGCTTGTGATTGTATCTCATAATACTTTAACTCGTTTTCAGATTTAAAATGCTAAAATTTTTCAGTATATATAAGTAAACTTGAAATTGTATATGCCTTAATACACGGTTATATACTGGCCGAGAGAGCGCTTTGGAACTACAGTCCCTGACAGACTTTAATACTTTGCTCCTTTATGATGATGGAAAATGTGTACAACATCGACAAATATTTATACCCGCACTTTCTAAAGAAAGTTTGGGTATATTGTTACTCATGTCCGTCCGTCCGTCTGTCACACTTTTTTTCCCTGAACTCCTCCTACATTTTACACAGTAGCTTAATCTTCTTTTGGGAGATGATTGGTGGTGTCATGTAGATGTGCAGTAAGGTTTTGGAATTTTGATTTTGCCCCCGGTGGTCAAATGGGGGTTGAAAAATGACGTTTTTTATGCGAAAAGCCCCGTCTTCCCTGAACAGCTCCTATATTTTACTCAGTAGCCTATTCATCTTTTGGGAGATTTTTGATGGTGTCATGTAGATGTGTAGGAAGGTTTCGGAATTTTTATTTTGTCCTGAATTCTGTCTTATCCGAATGCTCCTTATATTTACATTTCCAATGTCTTTGTCCGAGATAGAATTACAATTTGTACCTGTAAATATACTTTTAGTTTATTTCCATATAAATCTACATGTTTTTTGATAGCTGCAGTTTAAAAATTCACGCACGGGGCGTGCATCACATGAATATGAATATGTGCAATCAAAAGGAAATACTGGCGTATGTAGGGGTTTTACTGGTTTATGAAAGTTTTAAGCGTTTAAACAGTTTAAATACTTTAATTAGTTTTTTTGCAGCTGATTTTAGACAGCACTAAATTGATCAAAGGTGTAACCCTCAGGTTCTTGGGGTCTGCCAATGAAAGAGAGACGGAGTAAACCTTTACTTCCTGTTGTCTCACGAGCAAAACTTTAGTGGGGATTCCATGGGTGTTAGATTGAACGGAAAAAATCTTAGAGGGTATGCCAAGTTGTACTACAATACATGTTATATCCTCCAAATATTCTGGAGAGAGTATTTTGTACCTAAACTATGTGGTTATATAATAGTTATGTAATTATGTACATATATATTACATACAATGTGTTTGGATGTGTTTGTAGATGGGAGTTTAGAGAGTGCCTTTGTAAATTATCTAACCCCTGTAAGTCGATCTGATGAGAAGATGTAATACAGACAACATTTTACAACCATTTATCTTAGGTGAGGGATCAGGAACACTTTATTAAGGTAGGTCAAATATCTGATCTCCAAAGCTCAATTATAGGGCATGTCAAATATAGTTATGTATTATTGAGTTTTGCTATCTATCATAATTCTATGCACAGTGGATACTTTACTTATTCACTTTGTTATTTTCAAAAGATATAAGTATTCAATTTAAGAGATGTTTGATGTATGCATTATTGATTTTGAGTGAAAGCTAGTGGACAACGGACCAATCAGAATACAGCAGTGCAGACATTAATATCTGAGAAGCATGTTGACCTTTGGCCTCTTCATGATCACACGTTTGTTTTCTCTGAGCTGAAGCTTGTCAATTAAATGTTGACATCATTGGAATGTACTGCTTCATCAAAGATAGGGACAGTAGGGGAAGCCAGTCTACACCTGTGTCACCAATGGTTTTAACAAAACTAAAAATAAGTCTGAAGACAAAACTCAGGTAATTGAGTGTTTTATATATAATGAAATTAATGTCATCTTAAATATGTAAATGATGAGTGAATTGATGTTTAAACACAGGAAAGGCAAAGATCTAAGTAACATAATGATATTTGGAAGAACTTATTATTGGTAAATAAAAATTTAATGATATGCAAATTTCACAGTCATTAATTTACAGGAAGCTGTCATTTAAACTAAATACAGATCCTCTGTTACTTATAAAAACACCTATGGACAAATACCTCCGCTACGGGACTAAACTGGTGGTTAAACTGGTCTCCTCAGAGCAAAACAAATGCTGGAGGTAGGTGAACTTACTAGTACTTGTGTGTCACAACATATATATTTGGCTTTTTATTTGTGTAATATTGGTCTCAAATGTAAATTAAAGCAATCAACAACGTTTCTTAAACAATGATGAAATGGGTTTAATCTATAGTTTGAACATGTATTAAACTTAATTCATTTTCCAGTGAACCCATTAATCTTTGTTGTTATTTATGTCTCCATTAAGCTAATACATATGTCTAACTTGGAGAGGTGGTTTGTTACACAAATTGATTAAGCGTTAACATAATACAGTAAATGAGATATCATTTTTCTGTTTTCTGCAAATACTTGTACACAGAGACAGTATAACTGTCCAATTCCCCCGACCCACAGATTGTGTTGATCATCAATACAGAGAGCACGGGGATGTGGAGGACATTGTTTTGGTGGGAGTAAGAAAGAAAGTAACTGACCATTCATGTCCAGCAGGTGGACACTAAAGAAAACACCATAAAATGTTAGTGGTAAATAGCTATTACACATCAAGATGTGTCCCATAACATCTGTACATATTCCATACGGCTGGAATTAAGGATGATATGCATGACCAGAGTAAGAGAAGCAGTACTGCCCTGATGGAGTCACCACCACCACCTTTCTGGTTTTGCAGTCTGATGTACAGATGTTCCTATTGATGTTCTCTGCGATGTACGTAACACTTTTGTAGAGTCTTTGACCTTTATCATCCCACTGTATGTCCTGTAACTTCCTTCCTTCTCTGTTGTGTTTGATTATTGTTTGGTCAAAATTTTCTCCTCATTCCAACTAGTACGTGTCCATTGATAGGGTAGGAGTAGATAGCTCCAGTTCTCCAATTTCCTGTTTCAATTATTTTTTTTGATGAACTTGTCACTAGTTACTCTGTAGACAGCGTTTTCATGGTAATCTGTGAAAAGATTTCCTTCTGTGGTGACTGTGTGCCCAGCAGGCACACAACATTGAATAAACTTTGAATCAACGTTGTTTTTCTATGTTGATTCAACATTGATTTTATGATAGATTTTAAAAAATTGTATCAACGTTGAAGTCTTAACATTGAATCAACATTGATAATCAACGTTGATAATATTTCGAAAAACAGTTGATTCAAAATTTCTTCCATTATTAATTTTGTAAAGGGGGTGTCATATAGTAATAATATACTTACATACAATTTCAAACGTTTTATTGGACGGTTGCTAAGATGTCTTTGTAATTGTGGAAGGGATACCGACCCTCTGAAAAGACAGTTTACTTTCAAAATATTATATATACTACTCACAGATTTCTTAATCAGTTTCCTGAGACCTCTGAGTAGTCAATTTGATTAGATCAAACATATGATGGAAACATTACTCTTCATTTCTTTTACAACTTTCTTTGTAATTGTTTTATTATATTTAACAATAAAACATTTAAATCTAACATAAAATGCCTTATAAATTGAATAAGTTTTATCATTTTAAGTACCATTTTAAAAATGGTTGTATATTTCAAGTACTTAAAACAGTATCTTAATTAGAATGACTTTTTTTCATATGAAGAAATATTTAGAAGAAAGATAACTACTCACCACAGATATATTTTCTTCTTACAACCACATGCAACATTGTGATTTTCTGACTTAAGAAACGTCGCTCCATGCTATTTTCTAACATGATTTAAATAGGTATGGTAGTAAGTAATATTTTCATATGCTACTCATATATTATATTTAATGTTTTGACTTTCATATTTCACATATGTATTGTTTGTGGCAAAACCTTTCATTGGATAACAACAACCTTGACCTTTTGACTTTAATTTTGTCGTTACTCTTTCTATTGTCTGTGTTCAATTTCTTTATTTCATTATCTGAACATAAAAATCATTTCTGAAAAAATAAGCAGCGCTTTATACTTCAAACTATTTTCATGTGGTTCTCATGTAATTGTTGTTTAGGAAAATCAGTATAACAAATTTAAAACTTTATAAGGTGAAATGTATAGCAGAGGGTCGGGATCCCGTAAATGAAAACATACGGTATATCACTATATGAAAAAATATATAATTGTAAACAGTAAGTGTTTAATTTCATATCAATAGCTAATTGTGTTACAATAATTTTCACCAAAATACATTCTATGAATTAATCATGCTACAAAACCCGAGCATTTACAAACGTTTTGCATTTTCACATGTGGTCATGAAATAGTTCAGAACATGACACCATTCCAAGGTAAGATGCAAATCTTATACGTTTCAACTTTTAATGCACCAGATATGCATTTCGACAAATTATGTCTCTTCAATGATACTTGTACTCTGACATGCCGAAATGTTTTCTTTAAAGAGTATTTTTTTTAATTAAATCTTGGTGTTGAGTTCTGAGGGTTGTGTTATGCTGTCTTTTTGAATATTTTCCGGATGTCCTAATGCGTATCCTCTTAATTCGTACTTTTGCAAATTCGTACTGAATTCATATTTATCATTGAATGTTTAAAATTTCTATATTTACCATCCTTGTTAGTTATAATAGTTAGTAACGATATATGGTAGTGCGACTTTGTCAAGTCTAACCTCGTTTCATATGGTCCGACAGTGTTAAAGTCCGACACTATCATTGTCCAAATTATCTATCAGCGAAAAATAGGATTGGCCCGCTCAGCGAAGATCCAACGTTGAATCAATGTTGGCAATTCAACTCAATTTGAATTCAATGTTGATTCAACGGTAAATTTTCAACGTTGAAAAGTCAACGTTGAATCAATGTTGTATCAAGATTTATCAACTTCTAAACCCAACTCCAACTAATATATTCAACTTTTAAACAACGTTGTCTGCCTGCTGGGTGGTAAACTTGGAAATATCTTATACCTCGTAGGTTCCAAATACTGGTGGATCTTTGTGTAGGATTTTTCCTTCCATATCATACTGAATGAGATTTCTAAAACCATCGCTGGCCCAAAATTTGTTTGGAGATGAGAGAGACAAATGAGAAGTTCCATCTCTCTGGATAGTTTTTTCACTTACTTTTGTTATAGAAGAAAGCTTAAATATTTCAAGTTCAATTTTACCAAGCTGTTTGGCTATTTCTTCTTTATTTAGTGTACCTAATGTGAAAATTGGCAATTTGGGTTCAGATTTGCTAGGCATCTTTAGCGTAGACAATGAAATGTCTAAATTGAACTTCATAAGTTCAGTGTGTTTTATGGAAGACATTTTACTCTCATAGTCTGCAATCATTTTTTCTAGGTAATTTATGTAGCCCTCTGTTTCCCTTTGATGTTCCAATATTTCATCAAGTATAGAGTTTTCGATCTCATCCAGTTTTTTATTATTATCAGTTAATATACTGTCAACCACCTTCTTCACTTCATCTGCTCTCTTCTTCATGGAAACTCTTATCTTGGCAATTTCTTTCGTGACATTATCTCGCTTTGATTCAAGATTATTTTTAGCTTTAGGAATGACTGTTTTCCAGATCTCCGCTATTTCCTTCTGACATTGCTGTAGAATGTCGTTGTAGATGGTTTCAAGGTCACTTTTATCATGATCACTGTGAAACAGGGCAAAACATGTAGAACAAAGAGGATCTTCGCAAACCTTACAAAAAATGTCTATATCTTGTGTGGGGTGGATCATGCATTTTTCTGAAGGAAGTTTTCTTTTTCTCTTATGATAGCGGACTATCTCATGTCCTTTGTTCTGCTCTAGGTGGCGCTGTTTGCATTGATCACAGATTCGCTGATGACAGGTATTGCAGTAGAACTCAGAAAATTTCCCACAGGATTCTGTGTCACACTCGATAACATGCTGGGCCGTATCTGGTACTTGGTCCATTATTGTTAATCAAAACTCTACAAAATATTTATCATTATAATTGTTTAGGTAACGGAGACACTATTGGCAGTGTTATAAGTGTGTATAGCTTTCAACATGCTCAACACTTACTTAAGTATTACCTTTTCTGCAGTCTAGTAGATAAATCTCTTTCACAATACCTCAAAGTTGTGATATTTTAATGTTAGCCATTTGTAATGTATAACGTTTATCCAGGTAGAGTGTTTTTTACTTCAAGCTTCGAACAAAAACACATTGTAGTCGGATATTATAAATAGCTGTGGTGAGCCGAATGACAAAGACATTTAAATCTCTCCAATCTTTGCATCAGTGCAGAAATTGAATAAGAAAATAAATGGACTAGACTATCACATAGTACGTGTACTTTAAATAACAGAAGAGAAAAGAGTGAAAATATATAATGTTAAACGACACTGGTTCTTTGAAAATGTTTATAATTTAAAAATTTAAAGAATTGCTATATTAATAATGCATTGATTTTGATTATGCTAAATTAAATGTACTGTTCTTAAACTATGAAATTCCTGCATTTTTGTAAGAATTCTCTCAAAAGACATCTAGCAAAAACTAAAACTAAAATAAACTTAACTTGATCAAGATCAACACCAGGACAAACTGCTACATTACAATAACTGAAAGTTATGAATGATCTACTGACTTCGGATTTAAAAGCGATGTATTTAAACAGTACGAGGGTGTCCATTTTCTTGACATGGTGCACAGGGACTTGCTCCCGGCTTGTTATAATTATTTATAATTATAACACGCCAGGAGCAAGTCCCTGTGCTTGGTGTAAGGATGTGAGTAATATCCCAACATTGACAAAAAAGCAGTCTTCCAAGAAATTATGAAAAATAAAATCCTTGCTTATTGAGGCCTAATATTTGTAACATTGGAACATGCATTCAACTGTGTACGTTACCTTCTGTAAAATGAAGTTTGTTTTTTTTTTATTGATATCTCATTTTCTATATTAATAAAAAAAAAGATACAGATTGTGCATGAAAAGAACATTCTTTATCAAGCATTTGCATTTAACTAATTCAATCTGTAAAATTTTACAATAGTTCCATATTGATTCTTCGTTGATTACATTGGAAATTTATTAATTTCATAATGAGTCTTCTCCTTCTTTAAATGAAATTGTAAAATGAACACATATGATTTCAGATTACGGGTCATTAATTGGAATAGATAAGAACCAACAAAAGTACTTCAGTGTTTCCTTAAAAGATTTGTGCCATCAATCAAATTAGAGGTCATCCAGGATCCTATATCAGCTCAAGAATATTAAAGAAAGTTGGATGGATCATTAGCTAAGGTGTTGAACCAGATATGGTGATATCAATGGAGCTCTGGAGAAGACTTCTGACTTGTTATACCCAATGCATATTTTTATATGTCTATAGACAGTATAGAAGAAAATTTAATGTTTTTACAACATCTTATCTAGTATCTACATGCTTTTTCCATATATCTAGAAAAAAAAAGAGTCTGTGGTGCTTGCAGTACATGCTCTGTTTGTCTATCTTTGATCTTGTGTTCAGTAAAATGAATGCATACATCATAAGTATTAATTGAAGATTGCTTTTGTCTATACTGAACAAGTTTCTTAAAAGGGTTTGTAAATTTGCAAGGAAATTAATACATGAACAAGTAAGATTAATATTTTTATTCCTTAAATTTTGTTCTCACCAGGACCTAATATGCTCAAATAAGCATTTCTGACAACTGATGAGTTTTGTACATAAAGTTACAGTGTGCATGTATAATTATATCTACTGTAACAGTTTAAAATGAGACTTGGAAGTTGTAAGATTGTTCATTTAGTAGGAGTGATCAGACCAGTTTAGTACTCTACTAAAATTTTTAAAAATCTTTCATAAATACATGTAGTTTTATTTTAAAATTGTTTACATTTATAATCTTTTAATTTTCTTCTTTATTTTGATTTTATAAAGAAGAAAAATTTGTTTAATTTAAATTATTATTTCATGGATATTCAAGGAATATATTTGTCATTGTAGCATTGTTTCTTTTTCCCTGTTCTTGATAAATATTTATGACAACGTTATGTCATTTTGCAGAATTTGCCTTTTCTCTGAAATCAGTAGTACTCTGTAAACTCATTAAAGTATGAATTGATGTCACTTAGAATTTTATCTTTTTTGTTCTTACTTTCAGACATTTTAATTTAGATTCTCAGACTAATGCAATGATTGATCTAATGTCCATGAAGAGTAGAAATAGGTTAGGCCATCTTTAAAAAAAAATGTTTGGTTACTGGCCTCTCCCGACCGACTGACTAAAATGGTCAGACTCAAACCCTTTTTTTTCAATGCAGGACCGATTTTGTTATTCCTCTTATCCCCTGAAAAAATATGTTGAAGATTTTCTCACCTACCGACCCAATGATTTTACCCTGAGTCAAGAGAGGGCAAAAAACGGTACTTTAAAGATAGCATTTCTTCTTTTCGAAGTAAAAAAATCATTTAATAATAAAAAACAGCAGCTTCGTGGATGCAATGCTTACAACATTTCACTCAAAGAATGGCACACATGTATTATGACAAAGTCACCAGCCATAACTGAATATAGACATCTTGATAAAAAGATGTCTAGAAATAATACATGTTGGAATGACTAAATCAGCATGAGTTCAAATTCAAAAGGCTTTTAATTGGTTTAGTTGGAACATGTTCTGAAGTATGTTTATATGCATATACTTCAAAAGGTGTTGCAGTATAATTCATGGACAATTTCATCAGAATATTCCGATGTAAAGCTTTTTAAGATTGCCATAAATACTAGAGTTCTTCCATGGAATAAATTTTTAAATATTTATGGCCAATTTATGCCTAAAAACAATATAATAAATAACATTTAGTCTGAGGAGTGACAATGTGATATCAACGTTGTGTTTCAGAGTGTAGAAAAATCCTGATTTTTATATTCAAAACCCATAATATAGCCCATGTTTTCATGGAAATAATAATTGGGACATACATCTGTTTTTAGTTCAATTTAATGAAAATGATCAAATTGATAACTCATGGATTTTGATGGAATCGGTAGATATGGAAAATGGTGATTTTTTATATTATTGTTGCCATGGCAACGGATTTACTTTATCAAAGAAAATTGAAAAATCTTCTTTTTTTACCAAAATTTTCACTTTTTTGATAATGGAAAATATAAAAGTTTAAATAATATAAGCATGAATTATACAAATTCAGGTCATTTTAATAATATAAGTTACACAATTTATAAAATAAATTAATTTTTTCAATGAAAATAATATTCGAAATGAAATATGATATACGTTAAATTTGGCGTCTTTTATTCAAAAAATGGGACGGTTCGAGAGATAGAGAACTTCGAGAGATAGAAGTTCGAGAGATCAGGAGTAAATTTGCTTAGTTAGATAGAGGGAAAAAACGGGACCGGAGACTCACTTCGAGAGATCGAGAACTTCGAGAGATCGGAGTTCGAGCCATCGAGAACCACCTGTATAGCAAATGTGCAGATTTAAAAAAAAATATGAATTGGAGGGAGACGCAAACCTTACCTTAATAGCTACAGAACTGAAGTTCTCTGCTTGCATTTTCTACCTGAAGTGAGCGACAAAAAATCAGCATATATCGAAAGGTTCACAACATATGGATTTGTAGCTCTTTGCTTTATCTGTCCGAATTTTCTCAAGAAGAGAGCTACAGTTCTGCAGCTCTGGCCCTAAGTGCTGAGTAAAGGAGAAAATTTGCATCTCTCCACAGACACACACATAATTGCAATACCATATCTCCTCCAGCTTTGCTTCTGGGGGTTAATGACAAAAAATCAAAATAATGATAACGTATGAATATGTTCTCTTCACCCACTGATATGAAATAACCTTAAGGTATGTCACTCGTGAAAATTGTTAAATCAAGGATTTTTTTGGAAGTATATTTTGGATAAGTACGCATAGTGTGACTCAATTTGCAGAGAAAATAGGGGGTCAGTGTCCAACGTACTGATCTACGGTTCTATAAATTTGACCTTTTTGCACTTAAATTTTGACTCTGGTTAATTATTTTAACCTTTGTCATATTTTAGCAGATGTAACCATGGAAATAAATATACTTTTACTTTACGTAAAATAGTTTGAATAATATATGCACGTACGATAAATGCCTTCCAGAGAATATTGCAGTGTACTCTTTGAATGAACTTCTCTGAACTACAAATGTATGACGTCATAATTTAAAATGATGTCACGTCACTGCAAATTTGAGCTGTAATGAGGCGGAGAGTCTCATAAACATAACACCTTATTGCAATCTGCATATAAAGATGCAGAAATCTAGTTAAAAATAAACGTGTTTTCAATAGTGGTTACTGTATACAGGGAAACTTTCGCCCCGTTTTATTTTCGGCCCTTTCGCCCTACCTTCTTTGGGGCGAATTTAAACCGGGGCAATTTCAAATATTACACTATAATTTCTTAAACAAAACTATAAGTGGGCGAATTTAAAACGGGAAAAAATTGTTTTCAAGTGTGAAAGGGCGAAAAGAACACGGGGCGAAAATAACCATGTATACAGTATTACCTATGTTTGTTATTAGTCCCCTACCGGTGAAACCGGAGGGGACTATAGGTTTCCTCTGCGTCCGTCCGTCCGTCCGTCTGTCTGTCTGTCTGTCCGTCCGTCTGTCTGTCCCCGTCAGTCTGTCCCACTTGGTTTTCCGCACTTTTTTTCTAAACGCTTGCAGATATTGAGCTGAATTTTTGTACGTGAGTGTATCGTAATGAGTTACAGATCAAGTTTGAATTTCGTTTCGCTTCATTGATTTTTGACAGAATTATGGCATTTTGAATATTTTTCATTCCCACTTGGTTTTCCGCACTTTTTTTCTAAACGCTTGCAGATATTGAGCTGAATTTTGGTAAGTGAGTGTATCTTAATGAGTTACAGATCAAGTTTGAATTTCGTTTCGCTTCATTGATTTCTGACAGAATTATGGCATTTTGAATATTTTTCATAATCGCTTAATTAAGATCGGGTTCGAACTGCGTTAACTTCCGATTGTCGACAAAAATATGAAGCGAGGAAAAGACGATGGATAAATGAGTTGAATTGTCGTCTTAATGTTTATTATTCTATTAGATTTAAGGCATTTACAACTTGAAAATCTTTCAGTTTAACCTTGCGGGGACATGACTTTTGCACATTAAAAAATGACATCCTGAAGAAAAAAGGGGAACACGGTAGGGGACATGTATTGCTTATGCAATACTCTCAGAATGCTTGTTGAAATGCACTCTCACCCACTACTGAAATAATTATTTCAATAGTGGACGTATTTCAATAGTAGTTACTAGCTACGGTTGCTATTGAAATGCACTTTCAACATGTTCAACCACTATTGAATTTATTATTCCAATGGTGGTCGTTATTTCAAAAGTGGTTGCTCCAGCTGGGCTTTAAAGATTATATAGTGAAAATTTTGGAAAGGGGGGTACAAAGTCTGAAAATATATTAATGCTCTTAAATCCCCATTCTGATATTAATCAACAATTTATGACCATGATGAAATTTCCAAAAGTATGAAATTTGTGGCCCCAGGGTCAGTGGTTCCTGTGGGATGGGGTGCACATTTTCTTACAAAGTGGTACTAAATTTTCTCTTTGTTACTCTTGACCTACCTCTGGGTATTAAGTAACCAAAGTTAGCATTTCAAGTGTATATGTACAAGCAAATTCAAAGAATCGTGGTCCCCCGCTTTCGGTGTCTTTGTTGGTGAGATATTATTTTTTATGACATATTGTGTCTAATATGAACATCTTATCATATGTCATTTTATAGAAATTATCATTAAAGTTGATTTTTTTGAAGGATGAAAACCCTTATCCTGACCGGTAAAAAGTTATGGCCAAAGTTGACGTTTTTCAAAAGTAGGTCAACTCCAAGGTCAAGATCAAAGGATCAAAGTTGTTGATGAAAGGTTTTCTCACAAGGATTACATATGTGAAGCATGAAAGCCCTAGCCCTTACCGTTCAAAAGTTGTGGTCAAGGTTAAAGTTTTTACATAAGTACGTAAATCTTTAAGGTCAAGGTCAAAAGGTCAAAGTTGTTGATATCCAATGAAAGGACTTGTCACAAAGAATACACATGTGAAATGTAAAGGTCCTAGTATCTACCGTTCTAAAGTTATGACCAAAGTTAATTTTTTTAAAGTAGTTAAAACTCCTATGTCAAGGTCAAAGGGTAAAAGTTGTTGGTAACCAATGAAAGGTCTTCTCAAAAAGGTTACATATGTGAAGTACGAAAGCCCTAGCCCTCACGTTCAAAAGTAATGGTCAAGGTTAAAGTTTTCCCATAAGTATGTAAATCTCCAAGGTCAAGGTCAAAAGGTCAAGGTTTTTGGTATCCAATGAAATGTCTTGCAACAAGGAATACATATGTGAAATATAAAAGTCCTAGTATCTACTGTTTAAAAGTTGTGATCAAGGATAAAGTTTTTAAAAAGTAGTTGAAACTCCAAGGTCAAGGTCAAAGGGTAAAAGTTCTTGGTATCCAATGAAAGATCTTTTCATCAGGATTATAAATGTTGAGTATGAAAGCCGTAGTACGTATTGTTCAAAAGTTATAACCAAGGTTAAAGTTTTTTCATAGATACGGAAATCTCCAAGGTCAAGGTCAAAAGGTCAAGGTTGTTGGTATCCAATGAAAGGTCTTTCCAAAAACAATACATTTGTGAAATATGAAAGTCCTAGTACCGTCCATTCAAAAGTTATGGCCAAAGTAAAAGTTTGAAATTTCTGTGTAAAAGTGGGTCAAACTGTAAGGTCAAGGTCATAAGGTCAAATTTGGTGGTACCCAAAGAAAGGTCTTGTCACAAGGAATACACATGTGAAATATGAAAGTCATAGCTCTACTAAATCAAAAGTTATGGGCAAGGTTAAAGTTTTTGTGACGGACAGACTGACAGACTGACAGACGGACAGACTGACGGACAGACGAATGAGATTTAATGTCCCCTCGCTTTCGCGAAAGCGGGGGACAATAATTATGATAAGCAATGTTGTCTATTTCAATATTGTGAAGTTTCTGGCCTCTGGTTTAAACACAAATCAAATTAAATTGTTGGAAGGTGTAGCGGATACCCAGGTGACCTATAAGGACCGTGAGCTTCTTATCTAAGGAGTTGTAGGTAATTATTCTGTGAACATTTTAAAAAAGTTTTGAATTTGTATCAACATAACATTTATATAAAGTAAACCAGGTCTTATATACCGAAAGCCTGAAAGATTTCACTTAACGAGGCCCTATCTGATTGATATACGCATACGTTTTAACACAGCGTCGACTCAAGCACGTCACAATAACCTTGACTGCCGTCACAATTGAACACAATAACGTCAAAATTAAAATGACGTCAAATTGCGCTAAAATATTTCGCTGATCTTGCTTAACTGGTAGCTCTTTATATTGTGCATGTTGAAAGCCGGCATTTTATTATTTGCATTTAAAAAATAATTATTTAAATTCATAAACACTTTTGGAACATAATTAATTTTGAGGGGTCATTTTTTCTGTTACAGATTCATTAATGTTATCTTGTTTTATTATAATTGATGAGTTAAAAAAAAAACAAACACTGCAACCAAAAGTAAACGATTTTAGTTTTTCTCCTTGAACATATTGAAGTGTTTACGAGGGTTGTCCTTAAAAATCGTGGACAACATTTATAATTACTGACTAACATTGACAAAATATATGAAACTATTATTTTCATTAAATTCACATTTCATTTTATAAATATGCAAGTTTTCAACAGAAACAAAACAAAAATAGTTATATTTATATCAGATACAAAAAAGACACACACTCATACCCGGAGCACTGAAACGAATATTCTTGACGTTACCCAACGTTAAAAGCTAAATACGAACACATGTAAATTTTCTCAATATAGTTACCGTTTAACTCAATACATTTCTTATGTCGTTTTAATCAGTCAAAAAAATGTGCAAAAATTGTTCAGGTTTTATTCGTAAAATAATATTTGACAATGCCTGTCTCATATTTTGCAAATCATCCAACCTCTGTCCGTGTAAAGACGATTTTATTTACGGAAATACGGCAAAGTCATGATCACGTTTAACTTATAAAATTCATTTATTACAGCAATGATGGTCTTCCTTCAAACATGTCACCCTGTAAATTGTTTCCTTCGCCCGAAAATTATATATTCCACTTAAATACTTAAGAAGGGTTTTTAAAATATATTTTTCCGACTGTTTACAGCATTTATGGATCTCTGCTGGTGTTTTTGTAATGTCTATACAGAATTTTATCGAAGCTCTCTGCTACACCTTTTCCGAAAACGTCCCTTAAAAAACAAAATCCCAATCCCGTCTTCATAGATTCAAACGTCGATTTCTCAGCCATTTCTAAACTCTGAACGTTCAAATTTTTCAGATTTGAAGATTTAATTTTTGTCAACCTCATAAAGTAAAAGCAATTCTAATTTTCGAGGAATTTTACAAAATACAAATGATATATTTATAAAGTAATAAATAAATTTTTAATCAAAATATTGCGCTGCTCCGGGTCATCATACCAAGTCTAATAATGAAGCAATAATTTTAATTATATATTTGAAATTGAATATAATTTTACATTTTGTAATTCACATTTTGTACAGGATTATAAATATGTTAATAATAAATATCAATGACACTATTTTTATTTGAATTTTAGCTTGTCCACGAACTTTACGGACAACCCTTGTATATAATCTCTTTTTATTGAGGATTTAAATATGCATTGATTAGCTTCATTTAAAAAAATCATTAAAATGCACCTCCACCCCACCCACCCCGAAATATTTCATTCTTCTATAATTATATGATATTAGTAAAACGCGTAATTTTGTCACCTTTATCTCCCTCTACCCCCTTTTTTCCACGTAAAACAACGTCTCATGTTAAGAGAACATTAAAGCAAGGCAAGAAAATTATTTCAGAATGTAAGAATTTTTTATATCTTAGAAACTAATACAGTATTGCAATCGTTAGTTGATATTATGTAAACCCATTGCGACAGGAAAATATCTCTATTCTATTTATTTTATCATAATCACAGATTGATGAAGCATAAAAAATACATAGATAAAAATCAATTTGTTGTGTTCTGCAAATACTTTTACACAGAGACAGTAGAACTGTACCATCCCCTACCCAGATATTGTGTTGATCTTCAATAAACAGAGCACGGGGTTCTTTAGGAAAATGATCTGGTGGAATAGGAGAGACAGGAACTGACCATTAATGTCCAGCAAGTGGACACTAGAACGATTTTCATGAAATATAGAATAGTCATTACAAACCAGGATGTGTCCCAGAACATCTGTACATAAATACATCCTGAGACTCCTGACCAGTGTAAGAGAACCAGTACTCTCCTAATACTCTTACCACAACCACGCTTCGGGCCCAGAAGTTTGATGTACAGATATCTCCTTTTATATTCTCTGTAATATATTTAACACTTTTGTAGAGAGTTTTTCCTTTATCATCCCACTGTATGTCTTGTAGTTTCTTTCCTTCTTTGTCGTATCTGGTAATTTTCTGGTCTGAATTTCTCTCCATCCCAACCAATATGTGCCCGTTGATAGGAGAAGAGTAGATGGCTCCAGGTTCCCAGTTCCCTGTCTTAATAAACTTGTTGATGGACTTGCCACTTTTTACTCTGTACACAGAGTTTACCCAATACTTTGTGCATAAAAGTTCTCCCTTTGTGGTAACTGTATTGGTTACCTTGGAAATATGTCTTTCTGAATATGGATATTTTCTGTGAGATGTTTCCTTTCAAATCAGAGAGAATGAGATTTCCCGTGACATCACTAGCCCAAAATTTATTAGGAGGCAAGGGAGACACATGGCAAGTATGTTCCTTGATAGTTATTTCACTTACGTTTTTGGCAAACAAAAGCTTTAAACTTCCGATAAATCAACTTCTATTTCGCCAAACTGTTTGGATATTTCTTGTTTATTTAGTGTACCTAATGTAAAAGTTGGCAGTTTGGGTTCAGATTTGCTAGGCATCTTCAGAGTATCCAATGAAATGTCTAAATGGAATTTCATGAGGTCAGTGTGTTTTATTGAAGATATTTTACTCTCGTACTTAGTAATCATTTTTTCAAGGTACTTTATGTACTCCTCTGTTTCTCATTTTCTAAAAGACTGTGTTCTCATCCAGATTTTTTGCTATTACCAATTAGTATACTGTCAATAGCTTTCTTCAGTTCATCTGCTCTATTCTTCATTGCAAATTTAAACTCGACAATTTCTTTCTTAACATTTTCTCTTTTTTCTCAATTGGATTAACACTTTCTTGAAATTTAGGAATGACTTTTTTCCACATATATATGATTTTTTTCTGATATTGCTGTAGAATGTCATTGTAAATGGTTTCAAGGTCACTATTATCGTGATCACTGTGATGTTGGGCAAGGCATGTAGAACAAGGAGGACTCTGGCCAACATTACATGTATATTTATGGTTTGTGTGGAGTGGATCCTATATTTCTCTGAAGGAAGTTTTCTCTTTCTTTCGTGATAAAGGACAATCTCATGTCCATCATTTTGCTCTAGATGGTGCTGTTTGCATTGGTCACAGAGTCGCTGATGACAGGCATTACAGTATTACTCTATAAAGTGCTGGGCTGTATCTGGTACTTGGTCCATTGTTGATCAAAACTCTAAAATAGATTTAGTATTTTAACCAGAGTGCAGATAAGGCACTTTGTACATGGATAATAACAAATCACAGATAATACATATTTAAAAGAGAAAAATTACTGAACTTTAGTTTACCAGAACGTTACAAAAACACTATTACTACATTAAAAAATAATTTTAAAAATCAGTTTACCTGTATATAAAATTGTATTTAGTTTTTTTTAAACCTTCGATTTTATAATTTTGTTAAATTGTATTAATCATGTGGAAATAGCTGCTTTGAAAGAGTTCTTATTCTTCATTTTACTGTGATGCGTTAATTATTGTGCAATGATCCTCGTTTAGATGATTTTGATTTTAATATTCAATACCTAGGCATGGTGAGGCACGTACTGTAAGGTTTCATTAAAATAGAACAGTTTGAACGTAACAGTATATAATGGGACATTTTGTTTGAAACTCTTCTTATACACTTATTTTTCATGATGAAGTGTGGAAAACCTAAAATATTCAAACTTGTACATTCAATTAAACAAAACAAATCAATATCATAGCAAACACAAGCTCTAATGCACATAAGGTAGGATAAGGTGCCATGGAGGAGTGAAATTTCCTTGTCGATAGATCACTTCCACCAAGTGCTCCTTGTCATGATCGGGAAAATGGCTTTGTAATTGGGTTACCATTGCCTTATTCTTTTTCTAGTAAAATATCTAAATATGCAATAAATGTTTCAGTCTCTGTGGTATCAATGCGTGATCCCATTAGGAGATTCTGAATTCATTCTTTGTTGTGGTGAATCCCGTACAAACTGAATGCATTCATGTTTCTCTACTCTGCTTTGTTTATAAAGTAAACAAAGTGTTATTTATTTGCTTTGATAAAATTGATGTATTGCACAGAGAATGTGTTTCCGATATTCCTTTTTGGGATGGAAAATCCCGGTTAGTGTAGATTCATCTTTTAAGCTCGTCTTTGTTAAGACATACTATTTTATGTATAGTATCATCGCATTATATATAAAATTCCTGTTGCAGTAAAATAAGAATTAGAACAGGATGTTACGGGGTGCTACTTTCCCACCCGATCATCATGGTGCGATATGGTTCCTACTTCGAATTTACCTACCCACCGCGTTTGTGCGATTACGTGGCATTTATATTCATGTTTACTATCCTGGCCTCGGCACTTATTGTCTGTGCCATGTCTTTTGACCGTTTTATAGCAATTCTGTATCCTCACTTTTATAACTCTCCTACCAAAAACAGAAAAACTGTTTTAACTCTGACAGGAATTTGGATTTTCTCTGACTTTATGTCCAGCCTCCATTTGATGGTCGATCAGAAAAGCCAGAATTTTTTTTCCCGGGTTCTTGGTGTTTTATGGATTTTTCAGATTCTGACACATTGAGTAGGATCCTGGCCATGTTGTATTCCCTGACTGGCATTCTGATCCTCGCCACCACAGCCGTACTGAACACAGTGGTGATTGTCCGGGTCTGTTACGATAGCCAACAGAAGAAGAAAAAACATAACTAAGAAGAAGAATATCCACATCATTGTCTTCCTCTTCCTAATCGTGGTCTTGTTTTCTGCGTGTTTTTCATCACTTTTAGTAAGTATTGAATAATCCTTAAGTTGATGGTAGACATTTTATAACATTTTAGAATGCAAATGGTTCATTGAAAGGTTGATCTACTATGAGAGTATTAACAATGCATAGTACATGTACCTCTGTACCGAGTGTATAAAATAAGAGACTTATTTTTATGTTCTTAACAGATAAACATATTTGGCCATGCAGTAGTAACCATTTCGGGAAACGGAGAGTTCGAACTTTATTTGATTCGTCTTTCCATTTTGAATTCGATCATTTATCCTTGGATCTACATTTTATTTTGGAAGGATACATTCGATTTTCTCCTGCGAAGAGTCGTTAGTTTGGGATTTATTTCGGTATCAAGATCTACCTGTGGCAGTCAAACTTCCAAAAATGAAAGACCCTCTAGCGACCCGTATGTTGATGAGTCGTCAAAGGAAATGGTCAATCCAGCCTAACTGGAACAACGCATTAGAGAATGTACAATTCTGACGAGACGGAAAAACGGTGGCTGCTTAAGGTGAAAAACACAAATCTAGACAAAGAACAAAAAACATACTTCTTATGTTGTAAAGACAATTATGGTACAATCTGTATGTAAATACATGGTATCTGAATTTTTTATTAAAAATATAACTATATATATATCTGTATAAACATATAAAAATAAAATTATTTTTGAAATACTATGGGTATTCCAATATTTGCATTGCGTCTGACACATGTTTGGATATTTTACTGACTATAGACGACAAAGACCAACTAGCATGTAAATAAGACGATAAACGAGACGTTCCATATATACATAGTAATAATCTAACATCACCTGCAAAATAATTTTATGCCAACCTTTTTAGATCACCTGAGCCGAAAATACATAATGTTCATCAATCAATTGACGACGGATGTTGATAGTAACAAGTACTTATTAAGTAATTTAGTATGAGAGACAAAGATACAAGAATTATAGATCAAATCATTGAATAATAATTTCATTTAGGACTATTCAATTCCTCAAATCTCGTCCAGTTTACAATAGTAAACATTTCATAATTATCATTTTGTAAAGATATTAATGCGGAAATGTCAATATTCACTCACAAAATAAAAGTTTGACGGACAAATATATAATTATTTTTAAAACAGGGGGGGGGGAGTTATCTGCAGACTTTAAAGCACTGAGTTTACGGCGGGTATGAGTGGTCAGCAGGGGATGCTCACTCCTCCATGGCATCTGATCCCACCTTTGATTTTTTAGAGGTCCATGTTTACTCTGCTCCTATTTTATTTTGTTTTATGGATTTTGATATTGAATACTGTTCGTTTTCTCCATATCCTTCATTCATATACCATGTTGTCATATGTTTAATACATGTATGACGTCAGGATAATGACGTAAGTTTAAAATTTTCATGATTTCTACATAAAATGGTGTATATTACGTTAATATTTTGAGCAAAAGTCACCGTGTGCAGGTCTGCTAAAGCTCAATATTTTGATATAAAGAATAAAATAATAATATCATTGAAATATGTAAATATTGATCTTTAGTAGACCTCTGACCCCAATATTTTGAAGCAAAAGCTGTATATTTTTTCTTCTTTCTTAAAATTAATACAAAACCCAACACAGTCAGGTGTAGTTTGTGACGCTTTAAAAACAAAAATTGTCAGTGAACTACTTAATTTTAAACTATAATATTTTTTTGTTTTATTTAGATTTCTCATACAATGTATACAGCTTAGCTTATTGCAAGAACTTTTCAAATTATGACTTTTCTGGGGACAAAAATGTGCAATAAACCGAAGAGTAATCTTGAAAAAAAAATCTTGAGGCTTCTTTGCTTACTTTATTTGGTGATTGGTCCCTCCGTGTTTTGAAGCTGATAGAATGAAATTTGATTTGTTATTCTGCTTTTCTGTCAAGTGTTAATTTAGTCATTCATAAAAGTTTGATTTTCTTAACTTGGCTTATTTGTCTTTTCCAGTAATATGATTATTAAATGCATAAAAATATCGTTATCTTGAGATTTTTTAATCTTTAATTGCACATTAATACCCATTTACTATTGCCAGTTAACCCAGGTATTTAGGATAACCAGCAGCATGTAAACAGATAAAACAAAATATAGATTTTAAACATTTCAGATATGACAAAAAGAAGGTACCTTTCCAATATCCATATAGGGTAAACGCCGTTCCTGAGAGAGAGGACTAGGGTTGTGATGGTCGACCTTCTGGGAAAAGATATCCTTTTTAATGCAACCTGTTTCTAAATCTTACAATTAAGCTTCTGTGATAAGAATGCTACGGAGCATGTCACGTGACAGCCGGATAACGTGATTTGCGCCTGGACAGAACGATGTGCATCATAATTTCTTAAATGTGGACGAATTAGAAAAAATAATGAACGCTGAAACTTATTCTTTCTTCTTTTATATAAGTTTATCAATTACTTCCGGAACTTTATGATCATTCCTCGTAATTTGATAAATTATTATTACATTACCCAAATAATTGAGTTATGCAGGTCAATCTTGTTACCTAATTGAAATACATGACTATAAATATTTCCGTTTTTTAAATTACTATTGGAAAAAGCACTAGTTATTGTACATGTAAATGTAATAACGCTTTAATCGAAAAGTCATCTAAAATTCTTTTGTTCTATTGTATATTGCATATGACAAACAGCAATTAATTTTGTAGAACTGTAATTGATAGCAGTTTTTTTCATGACATGGGCAAAATTTGCCCGCAATGTGGCGGATGTCTTCACATGTCCAGCCTTTAAAGCTCTCATGCGTAGACATTTGGCCGAATGTTTGCCCTGCTGAACCTGTTATCTTCAAGGGTCCGTGGCCAATAATTGGGCTTAAACAGTCAATTGTGCCTAACGTTAATTTAACATGAAAATAACGTTAATTTAATGTTAAATATTTAACGTTAAATATATGTCAATCGAGCTTATACATGAATTTAAATAT